TTTTTTTTTGTTTACAGGGCAAGGGCCTTGAGATATCATCATTGAACTGAACAGCCCTTGCAATATGTAATTTTGTTAATCTGACTGCATCTGGATTCGAACTTGGGTCTGTATTTCAACAGTTCATGGGTGTACCAACTGAGCCAGGCCCGTTGGTATCTCGCAATCCTGTTCTTGAAAAACAGAAAACTTCCTGTCCAGTGTTGGCTATTTTCCGCTTTCATCCCAATAGAACACATTGTCATCATAGCTGTATTTAGGGCAATTTTCAGACTAGATACAGCAATAATGGCTGAGCATTTATGGGGTTGAAGAAGGTAGAAATTAAACCACCAGTACGTGGGCCATACATCAGCCGCGGGCCTTCCACGTTAACGCGCCGCATTCTTAGGGGCTTGGGGGAGGGTTGGAAGAGCTATGGGGGAGGAAGGTGGCGGGCCCAGGGAAAACTGCCCAATGGACTCCAGTATGCCCTCTTGGATTTCCGTGCATGTGGAAACATGCACGTCGCTGTGTGCAATGCCATAAAAGAAGAAAAAAAGAAAAAAGAGAAAAGAAACTTGCAAGGACGTGAAATGGAAGAGTACAGGAAAACTACAGTTGGCAGAGCATTTTCATGATAGCACTTCGACATATGTATCTGGATGCAGTTTCAGGCTAAAGCCAAGGACGTTTTCATTGCTTTCCTTTTCTTTTTTTCCACGGAAGAGAGAATCCTGGCAGTTTCTAGGCTTACTCCCCATGAGAAACGGGGAGCATCCAAGTGCCTGACACAAAATGAACGTTTTAGGCACTTTTCCGAAATGAATGTATCCTCCCTCAACTGTGGGAGAATTCAAGTTTCTGTCATGAATCTGAAGGCACTCTTGTTGCACACCATCTTTTCCCGTTTTTGTTTTTTCTTTTGCTGCAAAAGAAAGGAAAAAAAGAAGAATCTGGGCTGTATCTGGCGTGCCCCAAATGGAAGCACTACCCTGAGAATGTACTCTCCCTCAGTTGTGGGCAGATACTCATGAATAGGAAGGAGGACGTGCAGCCACCTTTTCTGCCGTTCTTTTTTCCTTCTTGCAACCTAAAAAAAAAAAAAACAAAAAAAAAAACTCAGCTGTATCTCATGTGACTTGAGAAAGAACTCTCTCGAGAATGTATCCTCCCTGAATCCTTGCCATGTACTCATGAAACTGAAGGCCGTCTCTAGAATGCCGTTTTTTTCCATTTCCGTTGTTGCAAAAAAAAAAAAAAAGAATCTCGGCAGTATCTGATTGACTCCCCGTGAGAAACGGGGGGCATTGAAGTCCTGTCACCAATGCAACATCGGACAGTCTCACGCCTGCACGAGTGAAAACTAGTGAGCTACAGCCTGTTTCGTTCCTCCTGCTGGCAGCAGTTCCAGAATAATAGGCGGTACCAGTGCCAGCCCACAAATGTTTCAAATCGATTTCCCCCCACTACAGGCTCGGAAAAAAACGGTGCGCAGGTCGATTTCAGGCTCGGCATCAATAGCTGAGCGAAGTACTGGTGGTTTAAGGGGCAGGCAAGTGTAGCACAGGTGACATCAGCGGCCCTAAATCGGTCCAGGGCCAACCAACGGACGGGTCAACCGTTGGGTTCTCTCGAAAATTGCCCTTTTACTGGTCCCACGGAGGGCAACTGCACTGGGGTTCATCGTCAGGAGTAGGGTAGGACGGGCTTGCAGAGAGGATATCCACAATGATAGGATCTACTGGGGGTAGTAGTAGTCAATCTCCTACTTTGAGGGAGGGGTGTATATAAAAAAATACAGTAATAGGAAGGGGGATTGGGTACATACACCCAGTAGAGCCTAAGGTGAGGGTTCTACAAGTTGGTAGGGGGTACACATATAACTGGCTGGCATGGGCCTATGGGCATCTTGCGGGGACTGAAACGGTGCGGGTCCGGACTGGATTCCGAGCCCATAGGCTGGTATTTGGAATTCCGGACTGGATTTGGCTGAGCTCACTGATGTCTACCACTGTTTCAGTCCCCGCACTGTTCGATAGTTGTGTAGAGTTCCAATACAAACGGTGGCTGGGGACTGAAACAGTGGGGGTCTGGCTGGTATTCTGAACTAACCTCTACGAATTATCACATGCTACCTGATCTAGCCCTATCGCAAGTCATGTCGTACTAACGTCTGGTATTTCAGAAAAATCAACGTTGTGTACAGTTCCAATACAAACGACTTTTGGCTGAGCTCACAGATAGTAGGCTGGTATTTGGAATTAGACTTATGGATGACGTGTCCCTATTCCTGGCCTATTGGAGTGGAGACTCAGGTTCTCTCGGCACGGCCAATCGAATCCGGAGGAAATTTGAACGCTGTTACCCAAGGGCCTTGACTTTCAAACGGACAGATGAAAAGACGGGGTCCTGGGATTTTTTGGGCTGCAAAATGGAGGTGCAAAAGAACTATCCTTATTTGGGTAGTATTCAGCAAACCAAGAATGAGGAAACGATATGGACCTCCGGCGAAGTCGTGTTCAAATCCGGACACGACTTTGATTCCTGGTCCAGCAGAAAGCAAAAGGCGGACATGACTTTGATTCCTGGTCCAGGGCATGTGACGACATATGGAAATTCACAGCAACATTGCTAGGAGGCACGTAGGAGGTAGAGATAGCAAGAGTATTAATAGTTCTTCTGTTGTGGTATTTGTCCTCTTTCATCGACATGGCGTCGGGGGCAACCCCGGCTAGGACTGATGGAACAAAGGAGTGAGTCTAGGGGTCCGTTCTCGTGGTTCTCTTGGGTTAAACCACCAGTACTTGGCCCAGCTATCGGCTGCGGCGCTTCCCCGTTAATGGGCCGCGCCTTTAGGGTTTCGAGGTACCGGACCACAATGGCTGGAAGCGCCAGCTAAAAAACAATTGAAACGGTACCCCGGCGCTTCGGCAAAAATTGGTGCGCAGGGGCATTCCAGGCTCAGCATCGATAGCTGGGCCAAGTACTGGTGGTTTAAGACCACTTCTCATTGGCTTGTCAAGTCTGATCCATTGTCTTTCTATTGGACTTTCAATCATTGTCGTTTTATCGACTTGTGATTGTGTTGTTTCGTACCTCTTTCTTACGTCTTGAGCTCACAGAATCAAAGATAAAGAAAGAAAACAACAGAAAGAATCTGGGCTCCTCTGGCCATGGGTGTTAAACCTCCACCAAAAAAGTTTAAAAAACAAACATAGGCGGGCTGATTTGAATCGTAAACATATCCGAAAGAGGTTTCGCTATCCGCACGGTGTTAAGTGGAACAATGCATACCCAAATCTTTCTGCCCAAATAAAGTTTTTTGTGATGGTGATACTAGTGTATTGCACACACAGTAAATTGTGACACCCGCCATAAGAAAAACATGACAGACAGACGTCCAGATCGTAGCTATGGACAAGTTCACCTTGTCAGAATAATGTGGTTTTTTTTTGTGACACTCCTTGTTTACATCCATCGCTTCTTTCCCTGCCTTCTTGCTTTTTTCCTTTTGCAATTTGCTCTGCAAGGAAAATGAGCAATAGCGAACTTCAGAAATCACACAGCATCTTGAACATGAGACCAGATAGTCGTGACCTCGAACCAATAGCAGAATTGCATCACGAGTTCCACCAAATAAGAACACAGCAAAAGCTCATAATTGACAATGTTTGAATAGTCTCATCATCATCAACGAAGAACCAATGTAGATATCCTATCTGGCGCTCGGCGCCCAGACTACAAATGGCAGATCCTGTCTAGCCTATCTACAATGCCGCTGATGACGTCAACGGCTCCCCGAAGCACGAGCAGATCTCGGCCAATGCCGTTCGCCTCAAGCACCAGGTATGTCTCTCGCATCACTCACAACCTCGATCTCCAACTCACAGATGCCACATGCATCCAAGGACCACCATGCACCCCATCCAGCATACAGCAGCGCAGCTCGGCTATGGCTGCCTGCTCCTTCCAGCCCGGCCGTGAGCGCTGGCCAGCGTTAGCGCAGCAGCGCTTGTGCAGCATGCAGCCAGTGCCCGAATGCCAAATGCGGTGGCAGGCCCTTTCCTAAATGGAAGCGGCCGGCCTGCTGCCACGGCCAGGCTGCGCTGGGCCCTCGCCCGGGAGCTTCCGGTAGGCCCGAGTGGATGTGCCCCAGTCCATCCAAAACAGGCCCAGGGCCTGAGTTAGTTGCCCGTACCCAACTGCCCACAGCCTGTGTTCGGTCCGTATGCGTGTCTGGCCCAGGGCGTACTTCAGATACATTTGCAAAATGGCTGCCTGGGCCGGGGCGCTTGTAACCAACTGACGCCGCGCAACTGTCTGAATTTCCCCAGTTGCGTGGTGGCCCAAAAAGGGGCCCCTTGGCTTGAGTCGAGCCTGCCTTCACTTAGGGCGGCCGACAACACTGCAGACAGGGCCAAAGGGGCTCATCGGGGCCTTGGGCCTCGCAGCTCCTTATGACAACTTGAAAATTGAAATCCCTTTGTTTTTGTGACATTATGCTTCATAACTTTTCAAAAATTTTGGTGAGTTCTTCAGAATGATTCAACAATGGCTTAAAAAAAGACCATCATTTTGCATCTCACACCCTTGCTGCAGAACAGGAGTTAGCAACGGTTTTTTTCCGCTTCCATCGGTTGTAGCGCACCTCGCAGCCCCCGCTCACAGTGTGAAAAAAGACCTGCATTCCCTGGTGAAGAACAGACTGACCCGATGCTCCCCAGAATGGAAAGGAACCAGAACCATAGGGTTCTGTTTGTATTTTTTTATTTTTTTTTGAAAGAACTGACCGACCTGAAGTTTAGGGGCGTACTGGCTTCAATGGTCTATCTGACAATTGTAATTTCATTTCCTTTAGAAGTGGGTGGTAGCCTCTACCATTATTCATTTTTTGGGGGGGTAGCGTCTACCTTCACTCGGTTCATGGGATTCAATCAAGGTTCGAACCATGGTAACCGTCCGGACGTCCGGACCGGGTTCCAGACAGTCCGGTGTCCGGTGTCTGGACAATATGTCTGGATTGAGGCCTCTGGGGCAAAAATCAAAAAAAAATTGGGGCGGGTTTCGCACAGGCCCGAGCAATTTCAAAGTGGCCTTTTCGATGTGGAGCCAGCTGCTGCTGCCCGTTGGGGGGGGG